AGGCAGAGAAGCAGGCAGAGAGAGAGAGGGGGAAGCAGGCTTTCTGCTGAGCAGAGAGCCCGATGCGGGGCTCGATCCCAGGACTCTGGGATCATGACCTGAGCTGAAAGCAGAGGCTTAACCCACTGAGCCACCCAGGCGCCCCTGAACTCTACTATTTTTAAACTTTATCCATACCAACTTGAACTTCTTTCCCTCCAGTCCCAGAGGAAGGTCTTTTCTCTGCTAGAAGCTAATGACTTCTGCTTTCCAAAACATTTGCCTCTCATCTCCTTAAGCACGGGGCGGGGGGGGGGGGGCCCTCCACCCACAAAGCTACAAAGTAAATATTCTTAAACTCTATGTTCACTTCAGCTAATATGTTTCTTCTCTACTTTCTTAAATTGAGATTGATTGACATATAACAGTTTCAGGTGTACAGCGTAATGATTGACATATAATATATATTAGTTTCAGGTGTACAGTGTTATGATTCAATATATGTATATTATGATATGATCACCCAATAAATCTTTAACATCCATCCCTACTACTATATTTTGTGTATTCTTAAATGCATTTTTTTTTCCAGATTTTTTGCAACATGGTCCCCATAGTTCCCCCCTGAATTGATGTCCTTGGGTAATCCTTTCCCACATGGATACTTGACTTGGTCATGTGGCTTTCTTGGGCCAATGGAATGGCGGCAAACATGGCATCTGAAAAGCAGTTGCACATCAGGGCTTGTCCCCTTTGCTGAGCTTGGAGCCCTGAGCCCACCATTTTAGCACATATGAACTAGCTCCCTGGAGTGGGCACCTGGAAGAGAACTAAGGGACCCCAGCAAACAGCCTGACGACCAAGTGGACTGAGGCCATTCTCGAACCATCCAGCTCATCTATCTACTGGCTGACTGGCGGCAAGAGAGAGAGCGAGCTCCGGAGAGACCAGCAGAGGAACTACCTGGTTGAACCCAGCCCATGTGCCCAGCCACAGAACTGTGAGCTAATAAATGGTCGTTATTTTAAGCTACTAAGTTTTTTTTTTTCTTTTTTAAAAATTTATTTATTTATTTATTTGTGAGAGAAAGAGAGAACAAGAGGAGAACACAAGCAGTGGAGAGTGGGGGGAAGACAGGGAGAAGCAGACACCCCACTGAGCACGGAGCCCGATGCAGGCGCTTGATTCCAGGACCCTGGGATCATGACCGAGCCGAAGACAGACATTTAGCCGCTAAGGTTTAAGGTGATTTGTTACGCAGTAAAAGCCAAGCAATATAGGGTTCATCTCTCAACTGTGATGTTGCAAATATAATGTGGAACATTTTCTTTTCTTGGAGATACATATGATAATGGTGCAACTTACAATGGATTGTGATTTAGTTTGGCTGCCCTAGGATATCATATTCACTTGGCGGATAAGAAAGCTAGGGATTAGCGGTGCCTGGGTGGTTCAGTCGCTTAAGCGTCTGCCTTCAGCTCAGGTCATGATCTCTGGGTCCTGCCATGGAGCCCCACATGGAGATGGGTGTCAGGCTTCTTGCTCGGTAGGGAGTCTGCTTCCCCCATCTTCCCTCGACCCCTCCCCCTGCTCATGTTCTCTCTCTAATAAATAAATAAAAATCGTAAAAAAAAAAAAAAAAAGCTAGGGATTAGAGGTTTTTTTTACCCAAGGTCTGGGACAGTAAGTTGTGGAATTTGAATCCAAGCAGTCTGACTCTAAGGCTTTGCTCTTAATCTGCAAGTATTTCCACCCAGCAGGACAGGAGCCTCGGAGAGCCCTTGGGAGCCTCCCAGTGGGAAGAGGGGTACACCCGTGGAGGTTACTGGCTAGAGAGCTGTAGACTAACTCTCCTCATAAAGTTAATGAAGTCAGAGGATCAAGTGCATGGCAGCAATCAAAGGGGCGTGGGAGAAGGGAGGACTATGGCTTCAATGAGGGCCACTGGAGACTATGTGATAATCAACAGTAGTTATAGAACAGTGTCATTTTGGTGGAAACATCCTTTTTCCCTACTGCTGGAAGCCCAGCAAATCTGAGATTAATGGCATACAGTCCCACTTTCTAGACACTAACAGTTTCACGGGGGAGAGGGATATATGCCTAAAGCAGATGTAGCCTCAAAAGAGACTGAGTGAGAAGGACCCAGCCACTGATGCCAGCTCTTTCTTTAGCCATCCTGGAATTAAAAGCACATTGGCCACTATTAATAGATGTGGCTATCCTGCAGATGACCATGTTCAAAATCGGTAGATACAGAAGATCAATAATAGTGACAATTCTGCTGCTGGCAATCACAAGTGGGAGCTTTGGGGACAAGATCATTGTCAACCTGTCCCTCAGCTTGTCCCCAAAAGGACCTTGACTCTGTTTAGCTTCTCCAGAAGATGGATCAATTGGTGTTCGATAGATCTGGATCTAGCCAGAGTTAGCCACAGCATTTTAATCAAGCCAATATGGGACTGAGAACAACTGATCAGAGATTTAAATTTCCATTAGATTTGCTCCATTGCAACACCCAACTGGCTTTTGTTCGGGTGGCTGCAGAAATGTTTGGGAAAAAAAGATGGAAAAGGGACTTAAGTCTGTGTTCCTACATCTTTCCAAGTCACAAAATGGAGTCCCCAACCATGGAGCTTGGAACGTTCATTTAATGAGAAAACTAAGGCGATGGGCTGACACCCACCTAAGGTGGGTGCCATTATTCCTGTCTTACAGAGGAAGAGAGGGGGCTTAGTCAATGTTTTTTAACCACTGTGCAGTTCTGCCTGCCTTCAATGTCTTTATTTCATGGTCATGGAACAACCCCATACGTTGTGAAACTTTTTGAAATGATTAAGGAGATAAATTTTTTGTTTTTGTTTTGTTTTTAAGTGTTAGCTATGAAAGAGACCTGAGGAATTATTTAGTCTAGTCCCCTTTTTTCCAGAGGAGAAACCTGATCTTGCTTCCTTCCCTATGTCATACAGTGGCTTTGCCAGAGAGAGTAGGAATTGAGATGTAATTCCTGATTGTGTGCCTTTCTCATTCTCAGGGGTCAGTTACCTGCGTTAGGGCTAGAAACCAAGGAAGAGCCAACTGACGAGGAAAAAAGAGTCTTGGAGGGGGAAGTGATAGGGAAGTTAGTCAGTGACAGCTGTCACACGTTGTGGGTTGAATTGCATCCCCTCCTTTCCCCAGATTTATTTGTTGAAGTCTTAACTCCCAAGTAGATAGGGCCTTCACAGAGGTCATCAAATTAATGTCCTTACGGTGAACTCTGATCCAATACGACTGATGTCCTCATAAGAAGACATGTGGCCACAATGCACACAGTGGAAAAACCGGGTGAGGAGACCCAGGGAAAAGACAGCTTTCTCCAAGCCAAAGAGAGATGCCTGAAGCAGATTCTTCCCTCGCTGCCCTCAAAAGGAACCAACCCTAGCCTATACCTTCATTTTGAAATTCCAGCCTCTAGGACTCTGAGTCAATAAATTTATGTTGTGTAAGCTACCTGGTTTGTGATACTTGTAATGGCAGCTCTGACAAACCACTACAGCAGAGAACTTTGAAGTGCATAAGGAGGGGCTGAAGGACTGGTTGGAGAAGCAAGAGAAAAAAGAAGAGGCTATGAGTGATGAAATCACAGGTGAGGAGGAAGAGATCTGAGCAGAGAAAGTGGAAACCAACAGAAAGGAAAGTGGAGCCCATTTTTAATCTTAGAGAATCTGTGCGTAGAATGGGGTCTTGGAGTCCTGTGCTGCTGCAGAGGCCACTGGAGCGTGGGTTGCCCTCGCCATCACTGTCCTATAGTGCCTGGCACACTTTGGGAGGAAAGTCCCCAGGATATTACTTGCTCGAGTCAACTTGATATGCTTGAGACCACCTCCAGTGAGCACGGCTTGCAAAAACGTAAGGACAAAGTGTAGTCCAGTGGTTATTATGGGCGTGTTCTGGAAGCAGACTGCATGAGTTCCAAGTGCGGTTTTGCCTGCAGTAGCATTCCACCTCTGGGCCTCAGTTTCTCCCTCATCCGTGAAAGGACAATCATGTCAGCATCCACCTCATAGGGTTATGATGAAGATTCAAGGAGATAACGTGTGTGAACTGTTTCCGTACACTGTAGCTGTTGTTTATCATCACAATAATGCTTTTCATGCTGCAAATTTAAAGAAGTACTAGATAGCAGCTCTCCTCCCAATACCAGGCGCAAGCACCCCTGTAACCCGAACCACCGTTATTAGAGGTTAAGGATACTGGCAGACCTCAGGTGCTGGGAGGAAAAATAACATTTGGGATAGGACCTGAAGAAGTTCATGTCAAATGGGCATTGCACAGATGCAGAATCCCTCAAAGCCCCAGCCAGGGCTGAATAGGAGATAGAGGCCTCAAGAACTTGGCAGGTGGATATTGTCCTTGAGTAACGTTGGATTTGTATTCTGCTGTAACTAGACCAGCAGGATAGGTCCGGAGTTGCTTCACGACCAAGACATTGCAAAGTCCAGACGAGTCTTCCCTGCCAGGGACTGTGGCAAAACCCCATGTGGGGACCGTGGTGAAATCGGGTAAAAAGGGGCTCCGCAAGTGAGTGTCAAAAAAAAAAAGAAAAAAGAAAAGAGGCCAGGGAAGCTCCCCACCCCGCCCCCGGGTCTCTGCCTGTAGAGAAACCCCGGTCGCCAAAAGTCAGCAAGGCAGGCAACTGGGAGTGGAGGACGCAAACGGGCGTCTTCCGGTCCCCGTGGCAGCGGTACCCCAAAGCTGGCCGGGCTTCTAGGCTGAGGCTCTGTGATACACCCTTCGCCCTTCCACAGGTTCGCTATGAAATGGAAGGCAGGCGAAGCGACTCCTACTGAATTTGCTAGTCGCCTCCCGGCACCCGCCCGCACGCAGCCAGATTTGGGCTCCTCCCGCGGGGAGGCAGCCAGGCGCACGTCGGGGGCGGGGCTTGCCGGCGGAGGCGGGGCTTGAGGACAGGGCGGGGCGGGGCTGGGCGGGCGCGGCAGGCGCACCAGCGAGCGGCTGGGCCCGGCGGCGGAGGAGGCTGGGGCGCAGCCAGGGAGCCGCGGCTGTACGGCGGCGCCCTTAAATAGCATCCGAGCGGGCGCTGAACAGGCAGTGGGCTGTGGTGACAGCTGGCGGCGAAGCGGCCGGTCAGCCGAGGAGGTGAGTGCTCTTGCCGAGGGGAGCCGCGTCCTTTCCGGCTGCGGCGCTGGTGGTCTCGGTGGAGGCGCGGGGGCTCAGGCTGCCCCGCCGCCCCAAGCTCGGGAGGCGGCGGCCGCCACGGAGACGCGTGAGCTTCCCCTCGGCTCCCGGGGCCGTTCTGCTCTTCCGGCCTCTGCCCTCGGCTCCTCTTTCCGCGGTGGCAGAGGCCTTCGGGCCGCTTCCTGTGCCTGAGCCGGGGATGCCCGGGCTGCGCGGGAGCGGGGCTGGTGCGCGGCGGGGTCCGGGTGACGCGCGCCGCGGGACCGGCCTCGCGTTTGTGTGGCGGCGGGGACCGGCCCGGCCCGGAAGGCGGACCCCGAGCTTCACATGCCAGGGATGATCCCGCGGGGCTGGGACCGGTGGTCTCTCGGCCACGGGCGTCCTTCCTGGCCCCGTGGCAGGGTTTTTGAGGCGCTCTCGGCCGCGCCTGGAAGCACGGCGCCGGACGGTCCTGCTACCGCGGCGTGACAGTGGCCCCTGCGCGGAGCGCTTGCGGAAAGGTCAAAGGCAGCATCCAAAAGCCGGTTGCCAAGTGTAGAAATTCTCGCGGTGTCTCCAGAGTGCCCATAGCCGCTGCACACAGCGGTGTTGGAGTCATTGATGTACGAAGCCTGGTGTTTTGAAATTAGGAAGCAGAAATGATGCCTTATCTCCTTGCGGCGTAAACAGAGAGTGGTGGTAAATGGCTTGAATGGACACGTGGTCGGACCTAGAGACAGACACTGATCAGTGTGTGTGTTAGAATTTCAGACCCCTTCCCCGATCCGCCTACCTTCAAGGTTATGGAGCTTAATTAAGACCATTATAAGTCTTAATTGTCTTTGTCTTTTAAAGTTAACACTTTTAAGCATCTTCTTGGTTCAGGAGTATCCGAAGTGCCCCCAACAGTCAATACCCTTCCTTTTATTTATTTATTTATTTATTTATTTATTTATTTATTTTTGTCATTGCTTAGCATGAGAAAAACATGAAATCTCACAATTTCTGACACAAATTTCCCCTGTGATTACCTCAATGTAAACAGTTATTTGCTTAACACAAACAAAAATTTCTGGTTGATTCTGCACTTTCAAGTGGAGATGGCAGCTTAGATTGGTGGATGAGTGGGGTCGAGGAGGTCGAACTCTTTAGAGGAAATCTTGCTTGCCAACATGGTGGAGTGGGTGTTTGGAGGCATTCTTTCTAGTCCTCACTCAACTGGGAGAATCCCTTCCCAGTCTGAAACTTGACTCCTTACTTGTGAAAGGACTGCATTAGGCTTGAAGCCTTTCATGAGCTAAGATTCTATGACTGGAAAAAGACAATCCTTAAAAGCAAACCTCATACCTACCTTCCTCACTTAAATGATGTAGACCTATCATAGGCCATATATTATACACCTCTGTTTTTTGCATTTACTGTAAACAGAGAAGCCTTTTTTTTTTAAATCACCCTTCCCTCGCAATTATAAGCATTTTGACCTATTTCCTTCCTATGTTATGCATATTTTGACGGTAATTTTATTATTATTGCTGGCAGCCTGACTAGAAAGAGATCTCTGGGCTTTTTGTTTGGGACATTTGAGAGAGAGCTACTTGGGACAAATGCAGGTAGGGACTGGTTTCTGTTTGTATCAGCAAGGCAGAGTTTTCATGGCTCTCTCTCTTCTGAATGGAGTTTGAAAGAACTCAAAGTGTCCTAGCATGCCACAGTGTCATGCCTCATGTCCAGGCTTTACTACATCTTTTGTTTTTGAGGTAGCTGTGCTGTGGAAAATGGACCTGTTCAGAGGAGGGCCTGGGGAAAGATCAGACTGTTTTGTCATTACAGCTGGGGATTTCTCCTCTCTCTCTTCAAGTTTCACTTTTCTGGAAAGAGCAAGACTACGAAATACTTGTAATTTCTAGATGTTGACACTCAGGAACCTGAGATGAATATATAATTTTTAAGGTCAGCTGCTGAATTTATTGCGCAAACTTGCCCCATAAAGCATCTGTCCATTATTCTGTGGCACTTACTCTCTCTTATATCCAAATTCTGTTGAGTTAGGATCCATTAACAATGTTTTATGAACAGTATTGTTTGGATGATGCAATGGGTTAGACTCTTGTGTTCAAAAATACAGAAGAACTTCCTTTAAGGCAGCTCCAAGCTGTTGGTATCTTATGGCCTAACTGGAAACCGTGGTCTTCAAGCCTTGCTCTCTCACGGGCAAGTTAGTCAGAGGAGGTAGACTGAAGGTGCCAGAGGTTTTTACTGTAGGTTGTCACGCCAGCTTGGGCAGACAAACATCTTAGGGTCACTTTTCTTTGACATTCATGCCTAGAGGTTGCATCTCTGAACAGAGCTGATCTGAAGCTGCCAGGGGTTGAGTTTAGTTTTAAACATTGTCGTACTTAAAGGGGCTCTGAGAGCTTTTTTTTTTTTTTTTTTAAGATTTTATTTATTTATTTGAAAGAGAGAGATAGAGAGCATGAGTAGGGAGAGTGGCTGGGAAGAAGTGGACTCCCCACTGAGCAGGGAGCCCCCACCTGGACACCTGGGGACCTAGGGATCTGGGGCTGGATTCCAGGACCCTGGGATCATGACATGAGCCCGAGGCAGACACTTAAGTGACTGAGCCACCCAGGTGCCCCTCTCTGAGAGCTTTTAAAGAAACCCAAGTTTGTAAAGCTTATGATCTAGAATAGAAGCAGTTTTACCAGTGTTTCTGGCTGCAACTCAGAAATGATCATTTTATCCCCAGTTCCTTAACTAAAATGGGGAATGACAGACAGCTCATAGGAATTTCTAGTTTGTGGAAGCCCAAGGTGATACAGAATTGTGAAAAAATTGCCCAGACCACAAAGACAAGAGAAAACTATTGTATAGTCTGTGTTAGGTTACTTTTTCTGCCTTTTTTACATCCTCACATTCAGAAGTTCTTGACTGAGTTGTAACCTTTGTGGAATCAAGAGGGGACAACGAAATATGGAACGAGCCTTGCTTGAAACGTGGCTGGCTTGGATAGAGGGCACATTCTTTGGACAAAAGCTGAGGTGGAGGTGAGCGCTCTGTTGCCCTGTGCTGCCTGCTTGGGAGAATGCCTGTGGCTGGAGGGAAATGTCTTGTTTGCAAAATCTAAGATTTCAAAGCTGGTGGCTCTGTGTGGGTACCTGGCCTAATTCTCTTCATGAGTTAGTTGCCAGTCTTCAAGTTTTACTTGAAAACTGTCTAATACCTAAGTCCTTAGAAAACCTATATGTGTATGTGTGTGTGTATATGAATATAAAATACAAAATTGTAATTTTAGAAAGTGTATATAGTATGTAAATATGAAAGTATAGTAGGAATGTATGCTTTTGTTACAGAATTATATTAAAATAGGAATATATATTATATGTTTTTTATATTATAGGAATCTATGCTTATAGAAAATTTGGGAGCTCTTAAAAAATAGTCTTCAAGAGAATAAATGCTGTTCACATTTTTGTGCATTTCCTTTTTGTGTTTTTCTAAACAATTGCTTTTTTTACTTTGAGCATATAGTTTTAATTTAAGATAAAAATTTTTTTTCAAGATTTTATTTATTTACTTGACAGAGAGAGAGGGAACACAAGGAGGGGAAGTGAGAGAGAGGAGGAAGCAGGCTCCCTGCTGAGCTGGGAGCCCGATGCAGGGCTCGATCATGACCTGAGCCACAGACAGACACTTAATGACTGAGTCACCGAGGCACCCCAAATATAAAAATTTTGATAACTTAATTTTAATCACGTAAGTTATATTGTGAACATTTTTCCATGTTGTTGCCTGCTCCTCAAAAAATGACCTTTGAGGATGACTGCATAATGTGGTATATGGGATATGTCCCAATTCATTTACCCTTTTCCTATCGTTGGATATATTTTTAAAAAATATTTATTTATTTTAGAGAGAGAGAGAGAGAGAGAGGGTACATGTGTGTGGGGGTGGGGCAGGAAGGACAGAGCGGAAGGGAGAGAATCCTCAATCAGACTCCCTGCTGAGTACCAAACCCAGCAGGGGACTTGATCCCAGGGCCTCGAGATCGTGACCTTAGCTGAAATTAAGAGTTGGATGCTGAATTGCCTGGGCCACCCAGGGGCCCCTATTGTTGAATATTTAAGATTGACTATTTTAGGACAGTTTGCTAAGCTTCTCATATATTTAAATGTATCTTTTTAAGAAATGAGGGCATGTTCTGCTCTAAAACTGTTGGAATGGACAGTGATTTGAAAATTATTTTTGTTCGTGAATGGTTTTAATGGACTTTGGGGTTCATGTGTTCTAGTCAGAAGCTGTCAAAATAAGGATTTCATGGTCTGGAAAGAGAAATGGAAAAAATAGGGCATCCGAGGAGGAAATGTGGATTGCTGTTTATACCATTTCCTCATTCTGGAAGGCCTTCTGATAAATGTATTATCTGTCCATATGCACAGTTTTGGCTGCAAAAGAAATGGGTACTTTCCCCCTCAGGTTTGTTATGAGAGAAATGTCTGTAGAGCTAAGGCTCAAATACCTCAAATACCGTTTATTCTTTTAACAACTAGAGTAAAAAGAAAGTTGCTACAGAGACTAGTTTCTGCCTCAAGGCTCAGCTGTCACCTACAAAGCAGGGCAGTGTCAGATGACTAACCTTGTGGCCCCAGCCCGGGCAGGGGCAGGCTCAGGACAGGAGAGGTGGTGATAACAGCCAACCTTGCCAGGCCCTGTCCTCAGTGCTTCTCAGGTGTTGACTCAGTTAAGCCTCCCAGCAGCCCTGCAAAGTAAGTCCTGCTATTATCCCTGTTTTACAAAGGATATAGAAACAGGTGCAGGGATTAAGTCGCCCACACCGGGATTTGAACCAGCACGGGTAGTCAGGCTTCAGGGTCAGAGCTCCTAATTAATTGGCTCCGCTGCCTCTGAAGACTTTGAAACGTTCTTGGTCCAGGGAGTGTCTGGAAAGTTCCAGGTTACCCAGCTAGTGGTGAGAGACTGAGAAC